GTAATACACTTAATTTCCACAATCACTTTAAACTTAACTACTTTTATAAACACACGCTATAATTCATAGCGATTCACATATTTTACTTACGGCTTGACTCGATTATCTCTATCTTCAATCTCTCTATCTATCTGCAATTATATCTCCGCTTTATTTGCCGGGCTTATATACTAACAAAGAGGGCGCCTAGAACAGACTAGAGTTGCCAGGAAAAGTCAAGATCCTTCGAGAATTTCATGACGTGTTACCAGCGTCACGTGACTTCCGCCGTCGTAACAATATTATTTTTTGGTACTATTTGCATAACGAGATGTCCCATAGGACCCAACAAGATTTTCATGTTTTGAGTTACTAATGTTAAAAATTACTAAGTGCTGTACGCACACTTTATATCTACATCTTATCTATATCAACTGTATTTATGTTGTACCTATGTTCCTGTCATGGACTGACTCACACCAATGTAAAACAAGTACATATAGGGAGTTAATAGTAGCATATACAAAACAAACAAATATTTGTTTGTAAAGTAACTAATATTATATAATGAAAGTATGTCAATGTAGGCTTCTTTACAATGTTCATCTTAAAGATATTTCCAAGTTAGGTAATAGCAGTTATAAAAAACAACAGCAAGGCTACAGACTAATTAAGCAACTACACGTGGCCACAAATATATTTCACTTTAATTGAATGGGTGACACTGGTGCATAATTAACCAAAATGTTTATCTCAAAGCGCGACTTCCAGCCAAGAGAATGCAGAAAAGTATCAAATATATGGAAAATATTACCACTCTAAATCAAATTGTAAAGGAAATTAAAGACAGTTCATTAACTCATGGTTAGTGTTCATTCCAATAACAAGGTTGAAGTGGATTTAAGAGACAAGTGGTCACATGAGGTCAGAGTAATAACGTTTATGGGCATGTGGGAAGTATACATTCGATTCAAAGTTATCCTTAGATTGCAGATATCAGTAATCTTGAGATCATGAAAACAAAGAGCTCTTGTGCAGAATTTGTGACTTGAATTTTTTGCTGAGTGAGTGTCAGTCACGAGTTGTATACCAATAAGGAATATTATATTTACAAATTCTGTACAAAAGCTGGGCATATCTTAGCAATAGTCAACATACATCAAAATACCCTTAATAGCTTTCAGCCTGTCCTCTGCTTCATCTATGCAAGTCTCGGCTTCCCAGTGAGTATATTTTTCTATACGTAACTCATGTCATTAATTAGCATTAAGTAATAGCTCCTAGTTTCTTGTACTAAGAATAAAACTATTTCTCAGTAACTTGAAGTCGAAATACTGTATCTAATGGCAATTTACATTATTTACATTAACTCTTTCCATATAGGGTCAGTCTGTGACCGACCTTGCAACCACAAAATAACCATTAGAATTTCTTCATGAAATTTGGCAAGCTTTCAGCAAACATTAAAAATCTTCTGTACAAAAAATCAGATTCTTAATTAATATTTTTACTAAACATTTGTCTGTGAATTTATGGAATCAGCGTGTTGACTACTCCGTGTGCAAAATGATGTTTATGTTAACATCTGAAAACTTTCAGATTTCCTTTGTGTAATCTTTAAAAACTACTAAATAAATACCAAACGTTTTTTCAGTGAATCTTTATGTTTTATATGTTTTTTTCTCTACCCTATCTCTATGTCGGAAATGACAGCATATTGAGACAGGAAACTAAATTTTTTATCGTAGCTACCTCAAAGCTCGTATCAACCTACATCTGTTTATACTTCATTTTATTATTTTATTGCTCTTTAAACCACGTCTAACTAAATATCCAGCCACACAAGTTATAACTCACTCAGCGAATGCGTAGCTCACGTAACCCTATTGGATGATGTAACACACGAGATGAAAGGTATAAAAACTGATTAAGGAAAATTTAATGTTTTATAGCTTTCAATATATTTTATAATGAGTACATTAAACTCTGTACTTCTCAGACAGGTGGTAAATAAATTAGATAAGAGGGAAGACCTAGAGAACAAATGTTACAATTCTCATACTAGGGGAGACTTGGATTTTTGAATATTTCATTATAAAATTAAGAGTTTAAAACTTATATGATATCAAAATTTGCTTTATTATCTACTTTATGATATCAAGTTTATTTGTATACATGAATAATAAAATAGTTTAATTAAGTTTTTAATGTAACTCTCTAAAAACTCTTGACATGCACTTTGACCTAACATTAACAAGAGGGATAAATATGCTCAATGTATCAATGCTAGTAATTGTGATATGTTTTCATTAAAAACGAGGCCTTTAATTCACTTCTTAGTTTCATACTAATTTCCTCGAGTTCATGATTTGTGTAAAAATTCTATTGACTGTATTCCTGGTATTTTTTAAATTAATGTCATTTGTAATGAGTAATGTATAATAATGTTAATCAATAACATACATTCATAAAGGAGTTTTTAGTTTCATACTGGCACCATATTACTTTCTTCTTGCACCTTTTGGTATATCATTTTGGCTCTCATGTCTGACCTGGTCTTCCTTTCTTCTCACTAGATGAGCTATCATCTTTCATACCTTCTCTCCAAATACACACTGAACCACTTCCTTTGTTTATGGCATTGCTCTTTGTTCTCATTTTTACGACCACAACCTAGATCTGTACTCCTAGTCAGTGACTGTAAAGTTTTATAATGACAATGAGTCTTTTAGTCTCCGTAATGACCAAAAAAAGGCCAACGCTATATCTATTCGCTCCAATCACTTTCAAATGACTTAGTATGTTTTAAGCCCCTGATTCATTACAGGCTGGCCACTTTGTTACACTCACTTGACTTCATATTCTGACTCACAACCATTATAAAATATTCCACAAGTACTACCTCACACATCACTTTCTAATACCATTGATTTTTTTTTTCACCCACATGTGACGGGTGTATAGGTAAACCTGTATACAGATAATACAATAGACTGCAGTCGCTTTAGAGACTACCTTCCTAGCACTTTGGCAAGATCCTGTTCACATGCTAAGTACACGAAATATTTTTTACAATTTTGTCTAGTTTTCAATTCAATTGATCATAAGAGGGTAAACTAATTATAGAAACCTACTACAAAATTTCCATATTTTACCTTAGAGTTACCTCCAGGCCAAATTAATCTAAATTTTACATGTAAATAAAAATTAACCATAATTCAGGTTACAGAAATACAATAACTGTAGTGGACTGACGTCACTAAACACACAAGGAAATACTCCTAAGCAAACTCACTTACATCTAATTGCAAGTCAAAAATTAAACACATAACATCAAAATAAAAAGGAAATAAAACACATCCTTTAATAACCCTTCACTAACAACAATAAAATGAAAGTCTCCTTTTACACTGAGTTTACAATTTACACATGAAAGAAAACTATTCTTCATAGTACTTTGCAAGAAAACTGCCTTTTTGAAAAAACGACTAGCAGAACTTTTTTCCTTAACATACTGCACTCAACAGATAAATAATATAAAAAGATAACTTAAACTTTAGTAAGTTCATAATTAAAAATCTAAAAAGTTGACTTAGTTTTCGATTTGGTAAAAGCAAAACAAAAACGCTCAGACCTCAACACATCAAATAAAAGTATGCATCAATCAAATAGAGTCAAAATACAGAAGATTGAGCTTGTTATATTAAAATAAATTTTAGCATGCAAGTCAGCAAATCACGCAACAAACACAGCTGATTTCCGTCATGGTGGAAATCAGTGTATCAGAACTGCATTTTGACATTTTTTATGTATCATAGGTTGTGTGATATCATAAGAATCGATTACTTTTGGGAATGGTATGTAACAGCTTTTCTGATCCAAAATATTTATATACTCAGAATGGGATTTGGAATTTCCAAGACAGAGTATCCCTTTTTTCTTGATGGTATTGTAAAACAAACAAATAGCCCAGTTCTTGTAAGCAAAATGCGACATTTTGTGACAGGTGAGAATCCATGAACACAAAAGTCAGTGACTAAAGCCATTCTCGTGATTTAGACAACAGTAAACAACATAATGAAGAAGGATCGCCATCTGGAAAGGTGACAAAGTTGCATGTGCATAAGTTGCTTCGACATGTTCATATGTGACATATATGACAGCTAAATCTGTCACATATCTTTAGAAACTTGAGTTTGTTTGTAATTAAACACAAAGCTACATAATGGGCTATCTGTGCTCTGCCCATCACAGGTATCGAAACCCGGATTCTAGCGTTGTAAGTGGGCAGACATACCGCTGTGCCACTGGAGGGCTAAAGACTTGACAATGAAACAGCTATTTATGTTATTCCATAAGAAGACTCAAGTCACCCTATAGATTTTGGCGTATTTGGACTATTGAAACAGACTTATCTAAACCACTGTCCTCGTACTTTAGATATATTATGGAAAACTAGCAGGGGGTGGGGAT